CAAGAAGAATTTACAATTGCCATCGAACATTTCTGGCCTCAAACACAAAACGGATTTTTCATCCATGAACAAAAAGCATTCATAAATGTGTTTTGTGTCAGGATTGCCACAAGGTGTATGAGGAAAGTGCATTATGTTGGAATACAAACTCTTTTTGACGAGCATCCAAGGGGGTCCAGGATTCGTGCAGTATCTCTTTGCCCATTTTCAGTACTACCCAGAACAATACTGATACCTGGTATCGGCTGTAAAAAAAATTAGTAAATACAATTTTCAGTGAGAAAATTTTAAAAACTCCTCCTATGTCTTTAATCCTTAATAAAGAATAGAACCATGATAATTGACTTAAACTACGAAGAGAAAAAAAAATAAGCAAATACAAGCATCATTCAAAGAAAAATGGGCAACTAAACAATGTATACCTGTAACATATGAATAAGAGTTAAACAATGATCTTTGACACCAACTGTGAAATTATAAGTATTTATAACCATCAGTGAATAGATTCACAAAGAGACTTGTATACCTACGGCCCATGATGTAGAGCAGAGCCATAAATTTTGGACTTGGCGATTAAAAGACTAGACAAATAAAAGCGACAAGTATTAACTGCTTAAAGAGTCATGTATACATATAGCCCAAAATGGGCAGCGGAATATTGATCGTTCGCCCTGGTGGTAAATAGACTAAAAAAAGAAAGCCAACAATAAGTATATGTTCAAAAAGAAATATATACCTGTGATCATGAATAAATACTCAAAACTTGATCGTTGGCTTAAAATATATAAAAAAAAAAGCTAGACAAAATAATAGTTGATAGCTAAATACTAAACGAGACATGTGTATCTCATACCCTGGATGTATGGTGAAACCTTAATCGTTGGTTTTGACTATGTCAAGATAACTAAAAACAACAACCAGTAAGTAGATGCTCAATATATATATATATATATATATACTGGAGAACTTGGACGGGCAACAGAGGCTTTATAGTTTGGCTTTGACTGTGTAAACACTAGAATAATCTAATTGATAGTAAGAAAATATTTAAAGAGCTTTGTATACCTGAGGATTTTTATGGAGAGTGAAACCTTGATCGCTGGTCTTTGCCGTAAAAAGTATGGGAATATACAGCTTAAAGTAACTAAAGGCTCAAAGAGACTTGTATGTCTATGACTGTAGGAAAATGTCGGAATATTAATCGTTGGTCTTTACTATGAAAACACTAGAAAAATACACCTAATAGTAAGTAAATACTCGGAAATGTATATATACCTATGGTTGGAGATGTAAGTCAAAACCGTGACTGTTGACATGAGCTGTGAAGATTCTGGACATATAAAACAGGCTGTAAGTAAATGGTGTAATAAAGATGTATGCCTGTAGCCCTGGATGGAAATCGGACGCCTAATCGTTGGTATGAACTGTGAAATTACTAGAAAAATTAAAACTGATAGTAAGAACATATTCCAATAAAAAAAACCTTGTATGTCTATAAGCCTTGATGGAGACTAGAGCCGTGAGGGCTAGCATAGAATGTAAAAAAGAAAAAGAAAAAAAAAGATTAAATAGATAGAATCAGTAGTAAAGTAATATTTAAATACACTTATATATCTAAGACGTTGAATTAATAGCAGGATCTTGATCGTTGACCAGGACTCTAAAAACGCTTGATAAATGTCATTGGCTGTAAAAAAGTAATCTAAGAATCTTATATACCTTTACCCAATAATGTTGAGTGGAAACTTGATAATGACCAAAGACTTGATCAATGGACTTGAATGTGCAAACGCCAGAGAAATTCAGTCGATATTAAAAAAAATCAAAGATATATGGATATCTTCAACCCTTCCCGGAAAGCTGAAGCTTGATCGTTGGACTCGGATTTAAAATACTAATCAAATGTAATCGATAATAAATAAATGTTCAAAATAAACGGTGATACCTGTGGCTCATGGTTGAGAGTAGGAAATTTATCCCTTGACCTATATATTAAAAGTAATAGGCAATAGCAGCCGGCAGTCCTAAAAGGGCAATTATACTTGAATGTCTGTGAACCTGGGTGGAGACTAAACTCTTGAACCTTGGTGTGGACTATGGTATGACTAGATAAATATGATGGATGACAGAAAGATATTCAAAGGAGGGTGTACGCCTGTTACCTCGACGAATAGTAGAAACTTGATCATCAGCGTTGACTGTAAAATTATTAGACAATTTCAACAAGCAATGATTAGCTATTAAAAAAAAAGTATATATACCTTTTACCCCAGATGAGCAGCGGAATCTCAATTAGTAGCCTTGACTATGAAAAAACTAGACAAATATAGCAGACACCAAGCAAATGCTCAAAGAGGTATATATACCTGTAACCCTGCATGAACTATGGAATCTTGGGTGTTGGCCTCAATTGTGAAAAGATTACCGAACTAAAGCTGATAATAGGTAAATACCCAAAGATACTGGTATACCTAACATCCAAGAAGGAGAGTGGCATCTTGATTGTTGGCCTTTTCTGCGAGTAGACTAAAGAAACACAATTGGCAGTAAGTAAATACTAAAAAGTGGCAGTATATCAGTGATTTTTGACGGGGATTTGAACCTTGACTGTTGAATTGAACTGTAAAAAGACTGCTTCAAACAGCTAGCAATATGTTAATGGGTAAAGAAAGCCACTTGTATCCCTGTAAATCTATGCGGAAATCGGGCTCTTGATCTTTGGTCTCGACTGTATAAAGTCTGAATAAAGCAACTAGTAGTAAGTAAATGCTTAAAAAGGCATGTATGCCTTAACCCTATTTTTTGAAGTGCAACCTTGATTCTCGGCATGGACTGTCAAAGATTGAAAAGATTCAACCAGTGAAGAATAAATGCTAAAATGTGCGTGTGTACCTAGAACCTTGAATGGATAGAAAGAGCATGATCATTTCGCCTTGACTATGTAAACGCTAGGAAAATCTAATTTTTAGTAAATTGCTTAAAGATTCTTGTATACCTGCGACCTTTGATGTAGAGCTGAGCATTGAACGCTTGCTACGGAGAAGAAAGGGTTAGAACAAAACAACTGATAGTACCTAAAAAGTCAAAGAGACTTTTATACCTGTGAGCCCAAAAGAATATCAAAGCTTTGATCGTTGGCTTCGGCTGTAAAAACATTATGCAAATATATAGTAAGTAGATTTTTTGGCAGATTTGTATACCTGTCCCCCCCGGATAGACAACTCATATTAATTGTGGGCCTTTCCTGTAAAAAGACTAGAAAATATAATAGCTAGTAAGTAAAGGTTCACATAGTCATGTATACCTTTAATCCTTAATGGAGATTAAAAACCCGATTGCTGGCTTAAACTATAAAAAAGCTAGACAGAATAATAAGTGATACGTGAGTACTAAATGAGACCTGTATACCTCAGGCACTAGGTAGATAGTAAAACTTTGGTAATTCAGTTTGAATAAATAAAAATTACTCGAAACAACAAGCAGTAAGTAAACGACCAGGTATGTACATATACTTGTTACCCTAGAGGACAGTAAACATGGATCGATTGGCCTTGGCTGTGTAAGATTAAAAAATAATAATTAATTAATTAATAAATAGTAAAATAATACTTAAAAATATTTTTTAAACCTATGGCCTTAGATGGAGAGTAGATGCTTATTATTTAGCATAGACATTAATGAAATTAGAAAAATCAAACAAGCGTTATGCAAAGGCTAAAAGAGAATTGTATACCTGTAACCGTGGATGAAGAAGAAATCCTTGTTCTTCGACCTGGGCGGTGAAAACACTAGACAAAAAAAAACAAGCGATAAGTAGAAACCCAAAGAAAAGTGTATACCTGTCATACTGGATGGAGATCGGATCCTTGATGGTTGCCCTTGACAGTAAAAACAATAGACGGATAAAAAAAGCCAATAATCAACGGCCCAACGAAAAATATATATCTGCAAGTCTGGATGAATATCAAGTCCTAGTTCTTCGGCCTAAACCGTATAGGCACTAGACATATAAAACTAAAAGTTAGTAAAGACGCAAACATATTTGTATACCTGTCACTCTGGATAGGGCTCGGGTTCGGAATAATTGGCATAGACAGTAAAGGCACTTGACAAAAAAAAAGACACATTAAATAAAAGCACTTGTCAGATTTGTATACCTGTAAAACTTGATGAAAACCGGATCCTTGAGTGTTGAATTTGACTGTAAAGTCACGAGAAAAAATACAGTTTGCAGCAAGTCAAAAATCAAAGAGATGTGTAACACTATATCCCAATATGGAGACCGGGTTCTTGCTCGTTACCCTTGACTGCAAGGACACTAGAGAAACAAAAACAATTATAAGTAACGGCCCAATAACATTTTTATATCTGTAATTCTCGGCGGATACCAGATGATTGGTCGTTGGCCTTGACTTTAAGGACAGTAGAAAATTAAAACCGACAGTAAGTAAAATCCCAAAGAGAAGTGTATACCTGTAACACTGGACGGATATAGGATCCATGATGGCTGGCTTGAACTGTGAAGCCAGTAGAGAAATAAAGCCAACAGTAACTAAAGGCCGAACTAGATGTATATACCTGTCGCACTGGAAGGAAAACAAATTTTTCATTGTGTAGCCGGATCGTAAACACACTAGGCCAATACGAAAGAAAACATGTAAAGACAGAGAGAAAAGTGTGTACCCGTAACCTTGATTTGAAATCAGATCTTTGATATTTGAACTTTAAGGAAAAAAACACTAGAAATATATAAATGACAGTAAGTAAAAGCTCAAGAAGACTTGTTTACCTGTAGCCCAAATTTGAGTTTTGATCCTTGCTGTTTGGCCTGGAGAGTAAAAACAATAGTCATATATACTTCTAGGTTAGTAATGGCCAAGAACGACTTGTATACCTTCCATAATGGATGTATATTTGATCATCGTTCTTTGCCATCAAAAGAAAGTATAAATAAAGAGTATAGTTTGTTTTAAGTAAAGGTTTAAAGGAAACTTGGTTAGCTATAACAATTCATGAAAATCGGATCCTGATAATTGCCGTGGATGAGTAGACACTAGAAATATATAAAATCCAATGAGTAATTGCTCATCGAGTTTTTGTATACCTATAGCCACGGACTGAATCCGGATCCGTGAAGCATGATCTTGGTGGATTCAACACTAGAAATAAATAAAGCCGAGTGTGATTGCTCATCGATTTTTGTTATACCTATAACCATATAACGGGAGATCAGCACCTTGAAGTTCGACCTGGATGGCCGGAGACTAGAACTAGATTAAAATAATGAGTATATGCCCATAATGCTTTTTATACCTATACCCATGGCGGGGAGATCGGAATCTTGATGCTTGACCTGGATAGCTGGAGACTGGAGATATGTTAAATCTAGTGAGTATATGCCCATAATGTTATTTTATACCTATACCCATGGCGGGGAGATCGGAATCTTGATGCTTGATCTGGATAGCTGGAGACTGGAGATATATTAAATCTAGTGAGTATATGCCCATAATGTTTTTTTATACCTATAACCATGGCGGGGAGACCAGAGCCTTGATGCTTGACCTGGACGACTGAACACAATAAGTATATTACAGCTAGTGAGTATATGCCCATAATGTTGTTTTATACTTATGACCATGGACGGGCGATCTGAACCTTGACGCTTGACATGGATGGCTGAATACTAGAAATATATTAAATCTAGTGAGTATATGGGCATAACGGTTTTTTTACACTTATAACCATCGGCTGGCGATCGAAGCCTTGATGCTTGATCTGGATGACTGCATACTAGAAATATATTAAAGCTAGTGAGTATATGCCCATAATGTTGTTTTATACCTATAAACATGGAGGGGTGATCAGGTCCTTGACGCTTGATCTGAATGGCTGGAGGCTAGAAATAAATATCAAAACTAGTGAGTAAATGACAATAACGATTTGTTATACCTATAACCATGGACGGGTGATCGGGTCCTTGATGCTTGCCACGGATGGCTGAAGACCAGAAATAAATATAAAAACTAGTGAGTATAGGCCCATAATGTTTTTTTATACCTATAACCATTGACGGGCGATCGGAACCATGATGCTTGACCTGGATGACTGAACACTAAAAACATATTAAAACCAGTGAGTATATTTCCATATTGTTTTGATATACCTAGAACCATGGCTGGAAAATCGGAACCTTGACGCCTAACATCGATGGCTGAACATTATAAATATATTAAAACTAGTGAGTATATTCCCACAACGTTTTGTTATACCTATAACCATGGACGGGAGATCAGAATCCTGTTGATTGACCTGGATGACTGAACACTAAAAACATATTAAAACCAGTGAGTATATTTCCATAATGTTTTGTTATACCTATAACCTTGACTGGAAGATCGCAACCTTGACGCCTGACATCGATGGCTGAACACTATAAATATATTATAACTAGTGAGTATATTCCCACAACGTTTTGTTATACCTATACCCATTGCCGGGAAATCGGGTCCTTGACACTTGACCTGGATGGCTGAAACTAGTAATAGATAAAAGCTAGTGAGTAAATGCGCATATGGTTTTGTTATACCTATGACCATATCTGGGAGATCGGAACATTGATGCTTTTCCTGGATGGAATGGATACTACAAATATACAAAAACAAGTGAGTAATTGCTCATCGAGTTTTGATATACCTGAAAACCGTGGACCTCGACCTGAACCCGCTGACCTTGATCGGATCCTTGATGCTTGACCTGGATGGAATTTGATACTACAAATATACAAAAACAAGTGAGTAACTGCTCATCGAGTTTTGATATACCTGAAACCGTGGATCTTGATCTGAAAACCGTGGACCTTGACCTGAACCTTGAAGCTTGACCTGGATGGAATGGATACTACAAATATACAAAAACAAGTGAGTAACTGCTCATAGAGTTTTGATATACCTGATAACCATGGACTCTGATCGGATCCCTGATGCTTGACCTGGACGGAAGGCACTAGAAGCATACAAAAGACAATGAGCATATGCTCCTCGAGTCTTGGTGTACCTGTGGCCCTGGATGGAAACCTGTTCTTGATTGCTTGACTTTGCCTGAAAAGTCCCTACAGAAATATCAAAGACAGTGAATGATTAATCAACGAGCCTTTATATACCTGTAGGCCTGGATGGAGATCTTATTTTTTATCGTTGACCTTGTTTGTCAAAAGACTAGACAAATATAATCTTCACAATGTGTGTCTTTGATGAATATCATATACTCCTTGAAATATAGTAAGTCCTGTCAGTTTATCTCTTGTTTCTGAGCGTGAATAGGCTTTGGATGGATTGATGGTCAAACCAGTGTTGGACCTCAGTATTTCATTTTTGCTGTGTACTGGTTTTGACGTATTGTCTTATATCTTGCTACTGACTGTTTTACATATGATAAAAGCCTGAGATTTGACTAGCAAAATGGATTTGTATTGGTTATGATTCGTCTTTAACGTCTATGTTGATTAAAGCAGTTTGTGAGAGAGCAGTAAAGAAGTGTATAAAGTATTAATGGTATGTGAAAGAGAGTTGTTTTGACGCGTTCTGTTTAGATAGTTGTTTTTTTTTATAAAACTCATGACGTCTCAATCATGAGTTGCTGTTCTTTTTTATTATTTTTATTATGATAGTTTGATAATATATTTTAAAATTCGGTTTTTTTCTTATTCCTTTTTCGGTTTTCTTTTATCTTTTAGCCTTGACAACATGTATATATTATTACTATTTTACTTCTTTATTTAATATCTATGCTTAAAATATGGGTTTTGGGTTTTAAAGAAGTATCACTTATATTCTGAAGGACGTGCTGTGCAGGCACTTGTTTTACTTTTTGTTTTTTTGTTTTAGTTCTTTTTATGTCACATAAGGTCCGTGCTGTCCGTGCAGCATCACATGTGTCATGGGGCTTAGAGGAGCATAGTAGCAATAGTGGTCCAGACTTTACTTTAGCATGAAAACATTTAAATGATGTCTTCCGATTGGTGGACTATATGCATGTCAAATTATTCAGTTGCTATGGACCCCCATCCCCTTTTTTATTCTACTTTCTGTTGTGATTCTGTTAACAAGGCTTATGCTTTTGAACAGCCACTTGTCGAGACACTATATATGCCTCTGTGTTCATTTTAGCTGTACTACTGATATACAAAGTATTAATCGGCTAGACGTTTAACTACAATAAAGAAGTGTAAAGTTGTGTTGATTATAAAGCTTTAATTAAAGTCTTGTGTATATTTATTTGTTTGTTTTCTTGTTTGTTTGTTTCACATGCTGTGACTTTATTAGTTTAAGAAGCACCCCCGAAAAAAATTGCTGCTTATATCTTTTCTTTTCTTTCGTGTGAAAGACTTCCATTTTTCTTCTAGCTTTTTCACCAGTGTCTTGAGTTAATAAACACAAAGTGTAGGAATACTTTCTTGAAATAAAAGTACTTTCAGTGCTTCAGTATGAAGGGATTGACAGCCTGACTATTGAAAGTCGTTGGTACCTCAAGTTAAAGCATCGTTCTTAGAGTAAAATAAAAGTAAAAAGAAGAACAGGGTCTAGCCTAGTGTTTGTCAATCGACCTTGGTTTGTACTACTTTATAAACCAATCATAATCCAACCGAGAAATTAATACAGAATAACCCAACTGCCTGAAACACTTTACATTTATATGTGTTCAAATATACACCATTCTATCGATAATTATAATTATTTATATAAGTTACATTATACACCATGAAAAAGTAGTGGTGCTTGCAATTGTGCTAGCCTGGTCACAGATAGATCAAGCTAGTAAAATGGCTATTACATATATATAAATCACCTTTTAAAGGCTCTGCTTATTTACTATTTTTTTCTGTTATTGCTCAGACTGACTGACGGCACAATATGAAAGCAAAGAGACAATCTACTGCTACTGAACGTATAGGTTTTGTTTGGTTGGGAGCAAGACGCTATCGATTACTAATTATCGATTTATAGGATCTAGTGCTTTTGATATTTTGCGCTTGTATACCAAACTCAACTGGATGCACGAATAACCTAGAAATAATACTCTGTTGGATTAAAGGCTTTGATTTATAACTTTTGTTTTGTAATACAATATAATGCGCTACAGTACTGTATAGTATGATTCCACTTATTACTTTGAGGTTCATAGTCTAGCTTTGGTTCGCTTGAGACTATTTTAGTTTGAAGCACGGAGCCTTTGTATAAATGAACCTTTTCTATGGTTGATTAAATATGAGTGTACTGGAAATGATATTTTTTAAGATTTCTACAAGCATATGCAAATGCACACCAATGGTAATCATAGCTTTTCAATTATAGAAAATTAAAAATCGAATCAAATAAGCAATGTTTTTTTTTTGGCTTTAAGTAACCTGGTGAGACACATTGTGATCCACCTCTTCGAGGTTTATTATATTACAATTACTCGAATTTTGATCAAAATATCCGATCTTTTCACTCTCAAAAAGCATAGAACCCTGAAATTCGGGAAACTTGCACCACTTCAATAAGCTCTTTAAATGCCCAATAGCAAAAATACGAGCTGTTTCTAAAAGTACATTTTTTTTTAGTTGAATACATAAACCAGACACTCCAAAAGGCATCAATTTAGAGTGTTCAAAAGTAAGAGATCTTGTGACATAGCCCTTCTCATCTGTCACGTGTTCTAAATTTACTTGCTATTGCTCAAAAAATAAAATATAAAGCCTATACTACTTGGTAATTGTGTGCCACACACTATTAGCAGTAGGGAAAAGATACATAGGGCTTAACATAGGCCAATGCTCCACGAGGAGAGGGGGACCAAAGCTCCTAGTATAAAAATTTCAAAGAAGAAATTGAAACGAATCTAAAAACATAGATGGTTAAGTTGGATAGTTGCACAAGTGCCTTGAAATTATCGAAGAAAGAAATTAGTGAGTGCAGATTATATATTTTCCGATGAAGGTAGAGAGAGAGTGTGTCAAAGCATGTCTTGCTGGAAGTAACCCTATATACAATAAAAAAATAGCTGACAGCTAAGAATTATCATAACTTGATTGACGGAAATTCTTCCTCGTTATGGATTCAAGACCAAAAATGATCGTAAAAGTGAAATTAACGAGAGTTGTGAAAGTCTAGCCCTGTTTTTAAGAATGAGAGCCGCCAGAGCCTTGAAATTATTGAGGGACCACTGTACTAAGAGTATCCACAGCAGTTTGTGTAAAATCACTGAATTTGTAAATTTAAATAGAAAATTTAGATTTTTTCATCCACAGTGGTTTGTCTAAATAAATGTTTTAACCAATTTTTTTTGGACAATTATTTAACAGATATCTAAATTTGGCCCATCACTAAAACATTCGAGCACTAAAAATATATAGCTTCAGGTCTATATAAACGGCTGTGGATGCTCTTAACGACACCATCTAATTAAATCAAACACTGACTGTGATATATACTGAGCAATTTTTCCTTTATGGTAACATTATTGTAATAACAGTATATAGTAAAGAAGAACAGTGCTTACAATTAGGTTTTGGCTATCAATATTTTAAAAGTAGGTAGAAATATAAATTGAAAATAATAATAATATGTAAGCATAATTTATTCAATTAAACACTAGGATTTGTCGAGTTTTACTTTCAGAAGAAGAAAGAAAGAAAAATACGGTAAACATATGGGACAAAAGTATCATTTTTTTGAGGGTGTAACTCCTTGTCATTGTAAGAGTAAGGAAGAGATCAGAAGCTGGACCGTCATTCGTTACTGTTATGTAACATTGCACAGATTGAATAAAACAATAAAGAAATCAAAGTTACTATCATTTGAGAATAATAAACTGGTCTCTTTTTCTTTATATCTTTTTTATACAGTCTGAGAAAGAAATGTTTCGCACCCTGGCGCGCTATTTGCACCTTTGCTTTATAACCTATATTTTATATTTTTCAACGTCTTAAAAAACTAATTAACAAATCTACCATAATGCCAAACACACAAAAGAATAACTCTCGTGGGCCCTATAATGTGCTTTCAGATTTGACGAAAGGAAAGATCCTTGGTCTTCAACTTGATGGAAATAATGTTGCCAGCATTTCAGCCAAGCTGAATGTACCCAAATCAACAGTTCGATATTTTTTAAAGAGATATAAAGAAAGAGGAACTGCCGATAACAGAAAGTCTTCTGGAAGACCACAGATCCTCACACCTAGAGACAAAAGACGTATTGTCTCGAATCTCAAAAAAGACAGGTGGTCAACGTTGGATGATCTTGTTGATGATGCTAGTGCTGACACGGGAAAGAATGTCAGCAAGGTTACCATGCGTAAAGCTTTGCACAGCATGGACTATTTTTGTCGTAAACCTGTGTCAAAGCCTTTTCTTACCAAGGCACACAGTGTCAAACGCCGAGCTTGGTACAAAACCGTGAAAGGCTGGAATAAACAGTGGGAAACAGTTATCTGGAGTGACGAGTCGTCATTTGTGCTGTATAAGAAAAATTCAAGCAGAAAGCTCTGGCGCAAAACTGGTGAGAGGTTTGATACGGATCACTTTGTCCCAAAGGTGCAAGGAAATGGTGGATCGGTTATGGTCTGGGGGTGTGTCTGGTCAGGAGGACTTAGTCCACTTGTTTTCGTAGATGAAAACATGGATGGTCCAAGATATGTAGAAGTTCTTCGAGACCATTTTCTTCCATTCTTGCATGCTCTTCCTGTACCTAGCAGCGGTAGCTACAAGTTCCAGGAAGATAATGCCAAGGCGCATAAATCAAAAGTTGCAGGAAAGTTCAAGAAAGAACATGGTATTGATGTTTTGCAATGGCCACCAAACAGCCCTGACCTTAGCCCCATTGAGAATATATGGGGAATCATTGATCACAGAATCAGAGCAAGACGCCCCAGACCAAATTCTCTGAATGAGCTGAAGGCTGCTTTGTTGGAAGAGTGGAACAAAATATCAGCAAAAACTTGTAGAAGATGCTGCTTGAATATGCCAAATCGATTGGCCTTACTTAAGAAAAAGAAATTTAAGCAAATCCGCTATTAAAACTGTATCTTTTTTTACATTATTAATATATATGTTTTTCACTTTTATTGTTCCAAGTATTATATTTCAATACGTATTGTACATCTTTAGAAAGGGATTTGAAGTTGTGATATCTTCTTTACCATTCATGGCGGATGTTAAAATGGGCGAAACATTTCTTTTCGGTACTGTATATAAAAATGCTTGCACAGGATCTTCCGTTCGAGATTATCGTTACAATTGTAAAGTTTCTTTTTTACAAAGACAAGATCAATTGTATCGATGCATTCAGTTCATGGAAGACAGTTCTCGAAGAATCATTGTGGAATAATATTAATATATCTTGCCAAAACTCTCTGGACGGAATTTGTAATATAGCATCAGCTAAACACAGTGTTTACAAAAGAAACGGCCGGCATGTCCGAACCTTAACTTTGAACGGGAATATATGTATTGCCGACGACCAGCTTCTTCTTATTCAGCAGCTATTGCCAAACCTAGATCGCCTTTACTGCTCGAATTCTTCTATAAGCGAAGACGGCTTTGGGACACAGGCAGATTGGAGATTATGGGAATCTCTTACACAGCTACACGTAGATCTGTCTGACTGGGAAGACATTGATCCGATTAGGGAATTTATGCGCGTATTCCCTTTTTTACCAAACCTTAAGATATTGAGCTTAGATCAAGATTGTGTAGTCATTTCGCCGTCCATTACATTGGAAGATATTGATAAGATCCATGATTATATGCCTCACCTGGAGAGCATCAGACTAGACGTACAACCTCCTGTCCTCACAGCAGACGATCTTGTGAGAATCACCGACGTAACACCAGCACCCAGCGTAAGAAGCATACATTTTAATGTCCGGAATTCAACGTATGGATGGTTGTATTACTTT